GCTGACCCCCATCTGTGTGTCTGTCTCATGATTGCTGGGAGCAGAGGCAAAGATCCACCATTTGAACCAGGGGTTTGTTTCAGCTGCACTGACCTGCAGCCCCCCTGTCCCTGCCAATTTCCTTGGAGCTGCTTATGAACACACTGACAACTCCGCTCCAGAGTCATGGCACGCTGAGGCAGAAGGCAGAGAGGTTTGACAGTGTGGCCTAAATATCCCTGTTTACAAAAAGTCTGACAAAACACAAGCCCTTGGCTTTATCTTTCCCATTTGGAAATAGCCACAGAGCAAATATACTTAAGGCACGAAGGGAGGGGGATTTATATTGACTTTAGAAAAAGCTATTCTTTAAAAACAGGAAAAAAGTTCATCCTCGAGCTGTGCAGACTGGCTGCTAGACCCAAAAGTCTTGCACAGAGGCTTAGAGCCTGCCTGCTAATCTGTAGCAGTTCTGTGTGAGCAAGTCATGCAGTAAACTGCTCTCTGTTAATTTTTTAATGCAGAATAAACAGGTCAAGAAATGATTAGCATGAGAATAAGTTGAGCTTAATTGGGAGAATCAGAAAAGATGAGAGGGAAGAGGCAAATTGGAGTTATCAGTTAACCATACAGAGTGGCTCTGCCTTCACGAGCTCATGTTTCCTCTTGTTTTCCATCCCCTCTGAAGCTGCCTTTTTTTCCCCCTTCCCTAATTTAAATGATGAGCTAAAATTGCTGGTATAAGCACAATGGAAGCCCTTGTTTCTCCTTCTTGTTTTCTATCTGCAATGGCCGCCCAAATGAATTGCAGGTGATAAGGCTCCTACCTGGTTATTCCCGATGGTCCTTCCCATTCCGCGTGGAGAAAGGGAGCTGCTGATGTTAAGGTTGAAATGTGCAAAATCCGCTTTGTGCAAGTATGAGCACTCTGCTCTGGTGCAAAAGTTTCGGTGTGATCCTGGCAGATCCAGAGACTGAGCGGAGGCATCCGTGGGCAAGGGGAAGAGCAGCCCTCGGGACTGCTTGGAGTGGAGTTTGGTCAGTGGTCGGAGATCTATATTCTCAGATAGGCAGGACTTTGTCCACAAACTGGAATTTGAAATTTCAAAGGGGAAAAAAAAAAGGCAGAAGGGACCTTTGCATATGTGGAGATGACTACGCTGGCGATGTTCCCCTGGGACTTTCGTTCTTTATCTTGTAACTCGGCTTCATGCTTCCCCAACAGCTCGCTTGGCAAAACAGTGCTGGGCTGAGCAGGGGCTCTGACCTTGTTCAGGGCTTTCCTGCTCTGGAGAGGTTTCAGAGCTGAGCCCACCTCCGCTTCACTTGCATGCCAAGGAAAAGCTACTCCAGTGCCACAGCGGCCTTGGAGCTGTGAGTGACATGGCAGGAGTGATCTGGAGTCAAGGCTGCAAGGGGCAGCAGTGGCATCGCTGATGTAAGACGAGGTTGCTCCTGCTGGCTCTGGGCACTGGCATTTCTGCTGGGGATTTCCTGAGAGTGCAGAGCTGTAAGAGGGAAAAGCAATGAGCAGGAGGGCCCCAGGCTCCCAGCTGCAGCCTGACCACTGTCCATGCTCAGAAAGTCCACAGGTGACCCCAAACTAGGGGTTTTGGGCAATACGCTGGAGGGCAGGGCTGCTGTTCCACGGCAGGCTGGAGAAAGGGGCCAACAGGAACCACCCGAGTATAACCCACACAGAGGGCATCGAGAGGACAGGGCCAGGGTCCTCACAGCATGCATGGCAGGAGGAGGTGAATGGGCATAAAAATCGGAAAGAGTTTCAGACGGTGTCTAAGACCACAAGGACAGTCAAGCATCAGTTGCCTAGAGAGGTTGTGCAGTCTCCAAACTTGGAGGTGTTTAAGACCCGACAAAATAAAGCCCTGAGCAACCGAGGCTGCTCTCACAGCTGGCCCTGCTTCCAGCAGGAGGTTGGAGTAGAGACCCCAAGGTCCCTTCCAACCTCAGTTATCCTTTGATCCTACAAACCCCTGTTCAACCCACTTGATGTGAACAGCTAGCAAGCACGGTAGCTGATAGCATCCTTATCATAGATGCTGCATTAAATAGTCTATTCCTGATCCTAATTTACTGAGAAGCATGGATCTTATTTTCAGGGAATCCCCTTTTGCTTTGGATTAATGTGCCAGCCAGGGATATATAGATAAGGCAAAATTAGTGTCATGCTGTGCCAGTGTGGGAAAGGATTTACTGCTCAACACATAAAAATTAAATAATTGCTTGGTGCAGAACACTTCATGCCCTGGAGCTGTCATGGTCTCCTTTGCAGCCACCTCCTGGTGTAGGAAACAGTGGGTGGAGGGCACAGAAAATGGGGACAGGAGGAGAGAGGAGAGGGCCTGAAAGATGAACTTCCCCTAAGCATCTGCTCTGGGAACAGCCTTTGCCTACGAGTAGGGGTTTGCCAGCTTTGAGTTGTCTCTCTCTGGAATAAAAATGACAAAACATCTTCTGTAGGACAGAAGTGTTTGAATCAGCCCCACAACCAGCTAGCTGCTGACTTGAACATCTCCAACCTAAAACAGCTGCAGGGGTCCTGTTAGCTAGTACAGGCCATGACTACTTTGGGAAGCTGTCTCAAAACCCACCATGCAGGGACGTCGGAGGGAGACAAGGGCTCCCCAGGCAGAACACCCCCAGGGAGACATCTGTCTCCTGCAGCAGACCATGCCCAGGGAGTAGCCACCGATTTCCATCACGAGCCCACCTCTGGGGCAAAGGAAGTGCAAGGTGTCCTTGGCTGGTCTGGTCCTCTACCTCCACACTGAGCCAAGGGATTTGGGAGGGGACACGGGTGCTGAGAAAATGACAGTCAACACGACCCCAGGGCGGAAAGCACCATGTCCCATTGACAGTCCCAGCCTCGTGAGCCACCTAATGCTCTCCAAACTTCCCCACTCCTTATCTGCCGCTTTCCCGCACATGCTGCCTCTCCAGTGTCTATTCCTGGCCCTCTTAATCCTTCCTGCCCAGGGAGCAAATGGCCTTTGCAGCCTTCCTTGCTCAGCAGGCTATTTAAGCAAAAGGTTTGTTTTGCTGAGCAGAGCAAAATGGGCCATGCTTTTACGATATTTTACTAGACGCTGTGGCAAATCCTGCACATATTTGACCTAGTGTCTGTAGCATTTATCTAATCAAAGGGATCACCATGGCTCGGCCAGGACTGGGCTGGAGGTCCCTGGGATGAGGCCACGGAGGGGGCTATGCTCTGCTCTACCTTAGTATCCCCATCCCAGTGTCCACATAGTAAAACCAATTTTTGGCTCAGGACTGTTCCTGCTGAAGGGAAGAGCCACTGGCACGTGAGTGCGGAGAGCCTCTGGCCTCTCTCTTGGGAGTACAGACGGGATGACTGTTTTCCCTGCAGCAAAGGATCCTTTATCACCAGTCCCAAGTGAGAAAGCAGGGGCTCTCCCCTGTGCTCAGCTTCACTCCTGCAGACCTGTAGCCTTAGGGTAGAAGAGCTGTTTGGAAGTGCTACATAGGTCATAGTTTTGGGGGGCAAGGACTGCTTGAACAATCCCTTGTGCTCCTAAAATGTGAATAGCAAATCATCGCTAGCATCACTGCCCAAAGGCATGTGCTGCTGCGGAGCCAGAGACCTTGGTGTCACGTTGTGATAGTGATGCCACCGTGGCCAGGGCAGCTCAGGGTGCCAGCATAGCCAGGGCTGCATTGGGGTGCCTGGGAAGCACAAATATGAGCCAGTTGGGAGCCCGAATCAGCAGCGTGTGGACTCAGTCACCCGCTGCTGGTTGCGAAATCAAGGGGAATTTTTGACCGCAGAACGAGCTGATACTGAACCATTAACTGCTGGTTCTCCTGTGCCATTCAGCCGATGCCATTCAGCAATCAACTAAATTCCCACTCATTGATCTTGCTGTTACACTGAAAAGTCTCTGTCCTGTCTAAAGCAGAGGAGTGATGTGCCCAGGGTCAGCTGCAGAGGAGAGCACCCAGGTTAGCTAGGAGGAAAGCACAGGCAGCTCTGCTACTTGCTCCGGTCCCCCCTGCCCAGTACCAGCAGGGTCGGACCCCAGGTCTGGGTGAGGTGGCAGAACCCCCGCCAGTGCTGGCAGCGGAGAGCTGGCAGTGGCTGCATTTGCAGAAGGAAAAAATCCCACTGCAGCGCAAAGCTCTGCTGCATTGTAAAACGCCTAATGAAAATTTTAAGATGTGTCCGTCAAAACTGAGGCCCGGGGGTGTCCAGCACAGGGTGGCTCCGGTGGTGGGACAGGAGCAGCCCCGGCAATGCCCAAGGCACTCATGCCACCCCCTGGCCCTGCTCACCGTTTGGGCATAGGTGCAGGGTGTGATCTGTTTATAGGGCATCCAGCCCCTGTAAAACTCAGTTTATAGGGAAGTAAAAGGAGTCGTACGTCGTTACTTTGCATAGCAACGTGTAAATTGCCAGGCAGGCGCTGACCTCCTCTGACAGGGAGGGAGAAAAAGGAAAAGGTGTGGGAGGGATGGAGGGAGTGAGAGAAGGGGAAATCAGGGGGAGAAGGCAACCAACTGTGGAAAGGGGAAGGCAATGACTGAAGTGAAGAGCAACCTTGTTCTCCCAGCGGGGTTTTTTCCAGGTTTTCCACCCCAGGTACAATTAAGACCAACGCCGGCAGCTCAGTATCAAGGTCAATAGCCCGGGAAGGTGTTCCCTGGGCGGCAAGTGCCTGCTCCCGCGGTCCTGCCTGCGCCTGGGAGCCAGGATTGGCAAAGCACCTCGAGACTCAATAACAGTCAACAAGAATCACTGCTGCTCCACCAAAAAAAAAAAGCTTAGCAGCGATCCGCAGTGGGCGAGATGATTAAAGATTAACCCCCTGCCTCCTGCCTCCACCCCTCTGGGGAGTATAGGCCTTGAGGCTCAGCAAATCCTTTCAGAGAAATATTTGAAATAAAAGACAACAGATAGGGGACGCAGCGAAGGCAGAGGGAGGCAGAAGGGCCAATAGCCTCGGACAAGGGAATCGGTACAATCTGGTCCGTGTTTGCTGATGATAATGCGCCTTTCCAAAGCCCTAATAGACATGGAGATGGCAGATTATAGCGCAGTGCTAGACCCGGCGTATACCACTCTGGAGTTTGAGAACATGCAGGTGCTGGCTATGGGCAACGGTAAGTCCCCTCCATCTTCTCCGCAGCGGTGGGACAAGCCAGGGACTGCAGGAGGACAAGTCCCCGGAGCAGCCGCTGAAATGGTCCTGGGGCGGGCTGGGCATGGCGGGGGTGTCAGCTGTGGGGCTCCCAGCAGCTCACAGTGGGGTTTCTGCTTCCCATGGGGAGAAATTGAGGTGGCGGAACGGTGCTGTGCTCAGTGCAGGTGGGATGGTGCCCTGCAGCCCAGACACCTTGGGGACGGGCACACGCCAGGAGCTGGGTGCAAGGAGAGGTCCCCACCAGACATTCAGCCCAGGGACCGGGACTGGGGCTGAACACAGGGGGGTCTCACCTTCCTCAGCCTCCAGCCAAGAGAAAAGACCAGCCAAAAGTTTCTGAGTGAAATGCTGCTGGCGGCTCACCAGGCAGACGACTGCCCCTGTGGCTCCAGAGCAGAGAGCCAGTCCCACCCAGCAGCAGCTGGAGCTAGGTTTTCCCAGAGCAGAAAGCCATTTAGCACCTGTCAAGGGCAGAAATCGCTGCAAAAAGCAATTTGGGCACTGCCCCCACAGCTGCACTGAGGCCACAGCTCTTCCCCATGCAGCGCTGGGGTGTGGGGTGGCATCCCCTTCCCTGCGAGTGCTGCAGGGCCAGGAGGCTCAGCCCCCGGGAAGAGGGGCAAGGGGACCCGGCAAGGATAGATGAGCGTTCCCATCCCCTCAGGAGGGTAGGATCACACTTAACCCACCAGGATTTGCAACACTGGCCCACCCGTTTGGGGACCAAGGAGTCCTGGTGATTAAATGCTCAGAGATAACAGGAGATTCCTCTCCAAGTCCCCCCTAAAGTCTCTCTAAATACGAAGTTAATGACTAAACGAAGCACACCACAGAAAATGACCCCCTGAGCCCTTTCCTCCTGCCTGCTGCGTCACCGAGGCTGCCGGGGCACCCCTGTCCCGGGAGGGCTGTGCCAGTGGCATGGGCTCTTCCCTCACAGCCTGTGCAGGTCTTCTCTTCCCCGGGTTATGGCTCTGCTCCGTCAAAGATGTGACACTGCAGTGCTGAAGTGGCTCTGCTGTGCAATAACCCCCTGCTGCCCTGGGTCTCAGCCCTTTCTCTGCTCCCGGGGGCTAGTCCTACCCACCTAAGGGTCTCAGGGCCGAGAGCAGCTCCCTTCAGCTCTGCCGATGCCCACCTGGACCCTCCGTGACAATTCCAGGTCTTGCTACCTCTCTATGCCCCTCTCCCACCCGGCACGCAAAAGCTCCTGCACGGGGGGCTGTGATTCAGCCCCCCGGACTGAGTGCTTCACGGGGCAGAGGGACAGGATAATTTTATGTGATGAGATCATGTGCGATATGAAATACGCCCTAGGGGTGGATGAGTCACCTGGGTCAGGCAGCACCAACACTTCTCCTCCTCCTCCACCCAGCTCCAGACCAGGGGCTGGTCTTGCCTCCAGGGCTGCTTTGGCACTCCAGCAACTACCCGCACCTCTGCTCGCAAAACCTCAACCTCCTTTTCTGGCAGAGGACTGCAGGAGAGCTCAGCCCCTGCCCTGCACAGCTCTGCAGCTCCAGCCCAGATGTGGCTGCTCAGCAATGACCAAGTTTGCCACTATCAGAGACCAAACAGATCCTGCGTTCAGACAGGCTTGGGGGCTTCTCGAGGTCCTAACACAAGTCTCAGCTGCGATGTCTCAAACTTAAAGTCAGGTTTTTTCTTTCCTCCATTTACCATAACGCCAAAACAATCCAATTAAACCCACTTCACTGCAGCAGCCAGAAGCCCACATTTCTGGCACTACAAAATAAACTTAACTGGAAAATTATCCATTAGGCAATAATTTCATTGTTGGTTGGCTATTAGACTAAGATGTTGTAATTTCTTTGATAACGGTGCCAGTTTTTCCTGTTCTATATTCATCTGATTACAGCATGATATACTGCTAAAAAGATTTATCTGGGCTGTCACAGATACACAAGTAATGGGATTACAGGCAGATCAGCTCTTCCTCTCTTGTGTAAGTCCTATGTGTAGCTGAAACTGGAAATCTAACTTTCCTTCCGGAATGACCTTCATCCAGCCAAGCCCTCAGGATGCGTTGGAAAGAAGGATGCTTTCAGAGGCAAGCTGCTCACAGGGACAGAAGACAGCCAGAATGGTCTTGGGAGGAGCTCAGGGCTTTGGGAGTGGAGAGGGGAGCTTAGCACAGGCAGTGCTGCACCCATGGAAATGCAGCTGTGTGACAGGCAGGCAGGAACACAGAGAGGCAGTAAACCATCTCAGAAAGAAATATAGGAGGGACACAAGAAATTAGAAAGCCAGAAAGCAGGCAGGGAAATGAAAGGTGCTGCCAGAGCCAGGGAAGGAGCTGGCTCAAGGTTCCCTACGCTAGCTCACTGGTGGAGCCACACCAGTTGCTCCTGCCAAGGAATGGCACAAGCAGGCTGTACAGCACCTGCTGCAATACCCCTTTCTCTGCAAAATAAATGCTAAAATTGTAGCCCTACCCCAGGCAGCATAGCCTTGGCCTCCCCCAACACCCATGCTCCAGCTGCCAAAGGGACCCCTCCTGGGATCAGCCTTTTTATAGCACCCAGCCCCCTTTCTGCTGGGTGCCAAGTGGGAGCAGCTGTGGCCCTCCTGGGGTGAGAGCTAACTGCATCCCTGCCAAAGCCAGAGACCAGGGACCAATAGACTCAAGTATTAAAATCCCAGCAGGTTTCTATGGCTTTGTAGATCCTGAGTATCATTTGCAACTGGGATTTCCACTGAGGCAGGGGAATGTGCCTGTGCTGATACAGAAAAATGTACATGGGAGGGGACAATTAGATCAACTGAATTAAGGGCTGATCCATTCAGCCTTGAGGTTTGTTTGGCTTGCTGGAGGGGTTTTAGTGTAGGGTTTCAAGCCTTTCAGATGTCCTTTCCTACAGAGGCTGCTGCAATTACCCATCCTCCCAAAAGAGCCCTGCAAGGACTATAAGACACATCAATCTCAGCTGTGGTACTACCAGACTCTGGAAGATACGCAGCATACAGCCTCCTCCATGATATAGCATCACCCTTTCTTTCTGGGTTAGCTTGATCAGTCCTTCTTTGCATGGGTAGTGTTTGCCCACATGAGTTTTCCAGCTGAAGTAATTTGAGTTTGTTATGCACTTAAAGTCTTGTTCTCCTGAAGAACTGCTGTGCAGGCTGGAGCTCTGTGCCTGGCAGAGGGGCTCTCCAGCAAAGGGAGCTGGTCACCTCATTTCTCTGATAGCATCTGCTCAGGGCTGTCTTGGGCTTTTTCGGTGCTATAACACAAACACCTCTCTAATAAATCAGCTGCTCACCCTGAGCTGTAATACCTCAGCTTTAACTCTGTACCAGCTTTTTCTCTGGCCATGCTACTGCAGCCCAAAGCATCTGCAAATCCCTGAGGAATTTTGGCTCTGCTTTGTGACTCCTGCAAATGGGTTTCCGCTTTGTCTGAAGGCATCGCTGGAGTCAGGCCTTTGAGAAGAGCTGTCTCAGCCTGGCACACAGGGAGCTTTTGCACACTCAAATAGCAATGACTTAAGACACTCGGAGTACCCATTACTCCTTACACATCTCTCTGACCAGCCCCTGCCACACAGTCTGGCTGCAGCTGCCTGGTTCCTCCAAAACTTAAGTCTCTTGCTGGAAACTGAGTTAGGAAATGTTGGCTGTCTGTCTCACTGTCTTCTTCCTGTATCCTTCCCCAAGCAGACACATCTCCATCAGAAACAGCCAACCTCAACACTTCCAACAGCATTGGGGTGAGCGCGCTGTGTGCCATCTGCGGGGACCGCGCCACAGGGAAGCATTACGGGGCTTCCAGCTGCGATGGCTGCAAAGGCTTCTTCAGGAGGAGCGTCCGGAAGAACCACATGTACTCCTGCAGGTAAGGACAGAGGGGACAGGTCGTGTGGCTGAGACAAAACAGTCCCTAGGAGCTGAACAGCAAAGCCCTCAAAGTGCAGCAGCATGGTCCTTCATTTTCTTCATTCTCCCTGCATCCTCCACCACCTTCCCTGACCTCACTCCCCGCCTCTGGGAAGGGTCAGAGACCACTCTCACTCTGGGATTGTCCTCCAGTGATCACTGGGGAAAGACCCTGGGAGCTATTGCCCCATTCTTTAGGGGCCATGCACATGCTCTTGCAAATGGCCAACCGTGGATGCGGCTAGCAAGCAAGGTGATGCCAGGGCGGAGAAGCCCTATTACAAGGGCTGAGCACCTTGCTATTCCCTGCTCTGAGTGCAGCGCAAACCCCACTCCAATGGCCTCCCATCTCTCCTCCATCACGAGGTGGAAGTGTGTCTGCCATCTACCTAAAATGCTGTCACTGCCTGTTACATGGTAAAAGAACATCTAAGGAGCAACAAGCTGGGCAGCGTAGCGTGCAAGCCTCTGAGGACGAGGCACCCATGTTGCTCCTGCAACTCATGCTCTGCATCTTATCGCTGGTGGTAGCCCACGGCTCTCCCGTGCCATCAGCGGCTGTGACCTGCCTGCTCCCTGCTCTGAGCAACCCACACGTAGAAAGTCGCAGAGGAAACCGAGGAATCCTCGGCTCACAGTGTCTAAATCACTTGGGCTTTTTGAGTGAGTTACTCCTGATGGCCTGACAGCCACTTGGAGAGCGTGAAGAGCAACATCACTCTAAAATCTGAGTGACAGAAAGAAGCCCCAGGTTTATGAGTGCATGTGAAGCGCATTATCACTTGCACCCCAGGGTTATTTAAGCTGGCTGCCCAGGGAGCCCCCTCCCCACAGCTCCAGTGGAAAAGTCAAGGTGCCCAGTTCTTTAGAGACTAGGGCTTTTATATAAGTGCTACAGAAATGCTTAAAAAGCTGCTTTCAGGCATCCATTTGGGCAAATCTTAGCTTGGGGCTTTAAAAAGCATGGTAGAAACAAGCCTTTTCAAAAGCTACAGAACTCGGCATGGCTGGGAGCCCTTTCCCAGCTCTGTATGCCTTTGTCTTTAGTTTGCAAACTTGGTCAATCCGCAGTAAATTAGAGCAAATTTGCAAGTGAAATTCATGCTGCAAATGGCCACCAGCCTTGTGGCGTATGCAAGAGACACGTACATGGGAGATCAGCATTTGCCCCTCCATGTGCGATGGATTTGGTGATACAAGCGTGGAGGGAGCTGGTTGCTTCCCAAGTCCTCTCTGAAGCACAGGTGGCTCCAGAGCTGTTCACACACCAGCGATGCTGTCCAGAGGTCAGAACCAACCTGCCTGGATCCCAGACACAGCCCTGGAGAGATGCAGGGACTTAAATCCACTTCTTAACCTTACTAGCTCAAGAACAACCTTCTACCCTATTTTTATTCAGGATAAACGCATTCTTCCTCCCTTCTAACTGGGATCTTACTTATAACAGAGGCTGGCAAGTTGGCTCTGATGCTCCTGGCTCACACTTTTAACTTTGCTGGCGCTTGTTAGTCCATCATGAGCATCCTGTGCCTCGTGGTTAGTGAGTAAGATCAGCAGCCTGAGCTCCTGCATGCAACTGTCAGCTCTAGCCCTTCCTTATTGAACATCCAGAAGTAGAGCAGAGGGCTGAGATGTTCAGTGCAAAGAAGAAACCTCAGGTTAAAGCAAGCGTGGAAATGGCACAGACCATGGCTCCTTTCTCAGGGTGAGCCTCTGGGAACCTGCTCTGAGTGCATCTTGGAGCTCAGGGCTCTGTCTTGTCCTGCCTTCAGACTCACTCTTGCTGCTCCTCACACCTCTCTTTCTTCCCAGGTTTAACAGGCAGTGTGTGGTAGACAAAGACAAAAGAAACCAGTGCCGATACTGCAGGCTTAAGAAGTGCTTCCGAGCAGGAATGAAGAAGGAAGGTGGGTGGCGGCATGGCTTCCCCACACTCCCCCCAGCAGCAGTCACGCTGGCTCCATATCTTTGTGGAAGCCCTCACAGCCCAAGGCCAGTCCCTGCCGTGTACGTGCTTGCCCAGCCATCTTAGCCCCTCCACAGTGCTCTCCTGTGCACAGATCCAGACCCCCATCACAGGGGGGTTTAGGGAGAGTTTTGGCCTCCAGTCATAAGCCCTGCATGTGCCCAACCTGCCCGCTCCCACCCATGCAAAGTCCTTGCAAGCGGCCATTGTTCCAACAGTTGAGGGCAAGGCATGGGGGCCCTGTGTGCTCCCAAATTCAATTTGAGGGCCCCTTGTCAGGGCACCTCTCAAAAGGCCAGCAAAGACAAGCCCACAAGAGTGCCGCAGGGCCATGCTTGTGTCTCAGAACTGCCCGTGCTTGTACACACAAATCACACCCAGGTCTCTTCAGCTCACTCTTGCTCGCGCTGACACACACATCACCTGTGCTCTCACATAGCCGGGGCACCCGAGCGGTTTGGGAACGCTTCTCAACATCAGTGAGAAGCAGAAACTTCAAAGAAGGCCTGGAAATTTGGAAACACTTTGGGAAAAACTGCTCTAAGTGCTGTTGACCCAGAGTCACCATCAAATCCACAGCTACACAGGCGAGTCTGGCAAAGGCCTGTCATTCTGCGCTTTTTTTCCTAATGTGCATATAGGTTCTTGCTGAGCCTCTGCAGAAAGCTGTTTTATCTGATACAGCAGCCGCAGCAGAAAGAACCTAGAGCAAAGTGGAGCATTTTGGCTATTTAATTCCATATGAAACGAGTAAAGATATCCAACCCCTGCGTGGCCCAGGCTCACCCCACCAACTTCCCTGCCTCTCTGCCTCTGCAGCCCTTCCAGGTCCCCGTGACTCAGACACAACAGGACAGGATTTATGCCTTGTTTAGCCCTGTGTGGTTCTCAGGAGTATTCACAGTGGCAAGGAAACCTGGGGCTGCTGAGGTCCTGCTGGTGGCCCTGCTGGTGGTCCTGCTGGTGGCCCTGTTGGTGGAGGGACAAACTGCCAGGAGCAAGCAGCCCAAGGAGCTGCTGGCACCCTGCAGAGCTCACCCCATTGACTTCTGCCAAGGGACAACCAGGAGGCATTTGGCCCTGTTGTTCCCTGTAGAGAAATTAAACCCTGTGCTCCCCCCAGTTCACAACCCCTCGAGGAGAAACTTTGGAGAAAAGGGGTCCTTGAAGACAATGGGGAAGTACTACTGGTTCCTGGGCAGCTTCCCCAGGAACACCAGCCTGCAGGAACACTTCCGAGTGGGAACATTTCTTCCCTGTTAAAGGGGATGAGGTATTGCAAGGAACTTGGCTTGACTTTACCTGAAGAACATAGGAATCCTCCTCTCCCTGGAGCGTCTGCTCATCCCATGCCCAGAGCTTTGCTGCTGTCTGTTAATATTCAATAGAAGTTACATTAGGTGCATGACCAGCTAATACTGAGCAAACATTTGGAAAACATCATGGCGTGACTGAACTCAGGGGCCTGCTACTGATAACAAGCAGCATAACCTTGAGAGCTCCTATTTACAGCCGCTGACTGCAGGGCTTTTCTTCTGGCCCAGCCTCATTATTGCTTTTTATCAGGCAGATTTATACATTGAGAACGTATCAATCCAGAGAGCCACCAGCCTAAGGCAGGGACTGTTCTGTTTCCCCTGCCATCATCAATACCTTATTTGAGCAGATGGCTTTGACTGGTGTGGCCATGGTGAGTTATGGCCAGCCCACGGCCTCGTGGCAGATAGAGAGGCAAATCCTCCCGCTCAGCACTACTGCTTCTGCTCTGGCTGCTGCCACCTCTAGACTCAAAGCCCAGGTCCTCAACACTAGACCAAGCAGGGAGACACACTGGGGCCAAACCTGACCTGGGACCCTCTTTACAATAAGGTATGAGAGAGCTCTGCTGCTCTGGAGAGATAAGGAGGAGCTGTTCCGCACTTCCTTCCTTGTTGTAGCTTAGATGGAAGTTTTCCAGCTGCACCTATCTGGTGTGAGAGCTTCCCAAACGGAGCTCACAGAAGTCATGTGGACAGACAAAGAAGCCATGCAGACACTCCTCCATTTCACACATAAGCTTTGGGCTGCATGCGTGAGCATGGCCACCGTTTCAGACCCTGTATCTTGAAATTAAAAAACTTAAGAGCCAGATCCTTTGAAAGGAAACCTTCCCATTGAACTCTACAGGCTTTGAACCAGATGCCTGGGTTCTGTAATGATCCTGTCCCAGGAAAGCCTAATAAAGCAAATGTGAAAACAGAACCACCAGATGTAGTCAGCTCTCGCAGGCATCCCATCACAAACCAGACGCAGCTGCACCTCCGCCTGCCAGGCAGGGAAGCTGGGAAACTGCAGCTAAGGAAGGGGAATGCCAAACGTCTGTGCTAGTTTTCAGTGTACGTTGTCACAAACAACCTGCAGCTCAGCTAAAATACTCTCTTGCAGCTGTACAAAACGAACGGGACCGCATCAGCACCCGGAGATCAAGTTACGAAGACAGCAGCTTGCCCTCCATCAGTGTCTTACTGCAGGCAGAAGTCCTGGCACAACAGGTACCTCTTCTTTCTTCTTTGGCAAATACAAAAGCATCGGGCACTATCTGGCCAGTAGAGCCAGTTGAGCATTTAATAGCCGAGTCTTCAAATTACCACCTCTTTTTTAAGTAATTTACCTGCCAACGCAACACTGGTTTTTCAAAGGCATTTATTTGTTACCTGAAACCATCCCTTTAATGCTCTTTGGTCCAGAACCCAGTTGTAATTATATGCAATAATCTGTTCTGCTTTGATGGGACACATGAAGGCTGGAGAGCCTGCTGGAAGAAGATAGGGTAGAATCATTGAAATCTAAGGAGCTGCAGCTGCCTAAGCCAGCCGAGGGGCTGGCCTTGCACAAGCAGCTTTCCTTCCCCATCAGCTGTTAGGAACTTCAGATTCTGGCTTCCTGCACAGTTTCACAAGGAATCAGTTTCATACTTGGTTTATGCAGATATTCTTTCCAGTGTTTGCTTGAAATTCCCCATTTCCACAAGCATACTGCCAAGAGTTATTTCCTAGAGCATTCACCTGAAAAGATGATTGCGATTTAAGAATCTGGATATTGCAAACAGTGTACATCAGATCAGCACTCTCTGGGAGGACACAGGACATGATGGGAGCACACAGGCTGCAGGGAGGATTTGTCTGCAAGAACAAGTGATGAGGATGGGGCTGTGCTGGAGGCAAGAGCTGCCACTCTTCATGGAAGCTGGGAAGAACAGCACTCCTCGTCTCAGGGAAAATGAAGAGGGGTTCAACTTGGCAGTCTGTGTTCTTCCTTGCTTCAAGGGTCACATTACCCTGAAGGCTGCCCCGGGAGATGCTCTGGGACAGGACATGCTGTGCTCTGGGCTCCATGCTAGGACTCAGGCTGTAAGCTCCACTTCCCCGAGGAGGGGATATGCTGGTAGGGCCAAGGGCCAATCCTGTACACGAGAAGCATATCCAATCTCATCCCATGCCTCACCTTGTCCTACACAGGCCCTAATATATTTATATACCCTATAAAAATAATACTGGTGCTGCTCCCAGAGGTGTGAGTTAATGGGGTCTCAAGTCACCAGATCTACAACGGAAGGACATTTCTGGGACTCTGAGTCCTGCAGTGGCTTCGTATGCAAGTCTGAAGCAGGGTCTGCTGATAAAAACTACAACCATCGTCAAATCCAGGGGAGCTCCTGCTCTCCCACAGAGCACAGAGCGACTCATTAAACAAGGCAGGCTCCAGCATGGTAATTGGTAACTTTTATGTGCCTAGCTAATTAGAACAAGATACTGCTGAGGAGCTGCCTTCTCCAAGATCTCGGGTCACTCACTCAGAGGTCTTTATTTATTTGCTAAGCCTTCCGGGCTCTCTGATTAGGGTAATACATGGTGAGATTTTTACAATCTTATTTATTCAATAATAGCTCAAGAGCTGGAAAGCTTCCAGGTAATGCAACCTGAAAAAAAAAAAAAGCAGATGGCATTTGAATTCCACTTCCTTGGGGCGGCTGGCAGGGTCCAAGCTGAAAATGCTGGCAGGAACAGGACAGGAAGAGCTGATGTTGTACAAGAGCAGAGAGGGCAGGCAGAGGGCAGTGATGGGGTTGAGTTAATTGCTTACAGAAGCATGAGGATAAAGTAGTGACTAAGGGCAAATTTTTAGATGAGCTGGGTGAGCAGCTATGCATGAGAACCGGGCAGGAGGTTGGGTGCCTGGTTTAGGGGGACATATTCTTTCCAGCTCTGTGTGACAGTACTTGCAGAGTTGTCAGACTTGTCCTTCACAAATGAAATGGCCCCATTTGCCTCTGCAATCACAAATAATTCGCCACGCAAAAAATGTGACCTGTGTTGTGGGCATGTTTGCACATGCAAAGTTTTGCCAAAAGGGCCTAAAAGCTGGCGGGAGGTGGGAGGTGGTTGTCTTTAAAGTCTGTCTTTAGCATTTCAAATTGGGTAATGTCAAATATTAATGACCTGGCGCTCACAGAAAGCAATGTCAGACCTGCAAAGCTACCTTCAGCAGAGACTTTTTGTGCTCATGCTGACTCAGACAGGAGGATAAGTAGAGCCTGCATGTCTCCTGTCAAAAGCGGACAAGGCAGGTCTGGCCAAGCACTGGCTCTGGAGCAGCATGGAAGAGGGAGCAGTTCTCTGCCCTTTGGTGGGACCAAGTAGCTTGTGCAGCAGCACTGGGTCGATGTGTCCTCGTTACTGGTGAGGCTGACTGCTACACGAGCCCCTCTGTTCCCTCCTGGATCTTGACTGAGCACATTTGTTCAGTGGGAGGAAGACCTTGGCTTTAGAAACATTCTGCGCTTTCCAGTCTATTTAAGACATGACAGATTACCAAGATGATCCACAGACTCAGCTCTGAAGCATTGCATGTTCACAGATCCCCAAGTTGATCTCAATTTAATTGAGTTGTGCTGGGCCATGTATTCTGGGGGCTGGATGTGCAACAGAAAAAAGTAATCATTGGTGTGGAGTCTGTATCAAAACAACCTATGGGCTGGGGATTTTCCCGTCTGTTTCCTCTGTGGCACTGAAAGCTGAAGGATCTCTTTTCTCCTTCCAGATATCATCCCCAGTTCCTGTGATCAACGGAGACATCCGAGGGAAGAAGATTGCCAACATCTCTGACGTGTGTGAGTCCATGAAGCAGCAGCTGCTAGTGCTGGTGGAGTGGGCCAAGTACATCCCTGCCTTCTGCGAGCTGCCCCTGGATGACCAGGCAAGTCCCCCCTTCCACCCCACCTTGCTCCACCCTGGGGAAGGCAGCGGGGAGCCAAAGGAGAGCCAGGCAGCTGGGACCTTCAAAGAAAATGTGCATTGTCAACTCTGTTATCCTGACTGCTGCAGCTGATTGGGAACGGCATCCATACAATGCCAGCACAGGCCATTTGCATGTGCAGCTAATCAGTCGATGAGCACAGTCATGATAACACTGAGCTCAAATTAGGTACACAATCAGGTGTGCATTTTGCATGGGTCTATCAGTCAATTATTTAATTATAGTTTGTGCAGCACTTTGAAAACCTGAAGTGCTATACAAATACTTAGTGTAATCAGACTTAGTAGGACAGACTTCTAGCCTAAGGTCTGCTCAAGACTTAAAACCAAATCTGCCTGTCTATCTTTCTTTCTACTTCTTGCCTGGGGATATGTTTGTATCCATTCCCCTGGGTGTTGAATCACTAAAACTAAATACTAGTTTTCTCCCAAGGCAATAAGAAAATCTCTCTTTAGAATTAAAAAGCAGAAATATATTTGCATGTAACACAAATTACTAAAATTATATTTGCTGATTCCATAACCAAGACAAGCACAGTGGCTTTGAAATCCTTTGTAAAACTATACCGCAGGATCTCAGGCAGCCTCAAAGAGATGCAAGGAGATGTCTCCTGTGTAAGTCTGAAGTCTGCAGCAGATGTTGCAGACATGATGTGTGCCCCACCTTGAACAGCACATGGGGATGGTGAGGAGGCTCCAGAGGGAAGGGATAGCACTTCTGGCAGGGTATAGAACTTCTGGCAGTAGCCCGCACAGGTCCTGTTGCAGGTAGGAAGGTATTTCCAGTCTTCCCAGTATTCAGTCACAAAATCAGCATGGGTCTTCTTCAGCTAGGATCAGTCTCCAGCCTTGTTGATATAGAGATAATTTTTACATCATGAGGAAAAAGGATATCCAGAAAGTGAGAGCATCCAGCTGATCAAAACCCTCTAAATCCTAAAACTGAGATCTTCAGTAATAACCCAGCAGCACAAAGCCCTGGGGAATTCAGTGCTGTTAACACAGAGCGTATTTCCCTCCTTACTATTGTGTGTAAGTGCTAAATCGTATAAATTGGCAAGAAATCTGTTAAACTCCTAAGGCAAATACAACTCAAAAATTATGAAAAACAAAATGAACTCCAATGGCCAATGACATTTACACAGCAAACAGGCTGCAGCCCAGCGGAGGCTTGGGCAGCTCTGCAATAACCCATTGTATCCTTGTGCCATTTGGAACACGGGCAGTAAACCTGGTTAATAACTCTGCAAACTACGGCAATTTCCACGTGAGCTCATTTTACATTTGTGGGGCTGCAAAATTTCTCAAAGAAGAAAAAGCCTCATGATGACATTGTCTGAAGGCTGCCTTCCCACAGAGGAGAGGCTGCTCTCAGTAGGCTCCAAAGGCTTGTCTCAACTGAAATAGGTCTTCTGTTATGACCAGCCACCCCTCGTCATGAGCAGTTCCCAATCTGTCCCAAAGGGCTTGAGAGGAAAGACTGTGCTGCATTAAAATTAACCAATGAATGCCACCCATGCTTTTGAAGGACAGTACAAGAACAGAGGCAGCAGATACTCAAGGGAGTGCAGGAGGAAGGACAGAAATGCCAGCGAGCAGGAATGAACAAAACTATGTGCAAGCCAGCTGCCCAAGGGTCCTGAGAGCCAGTCAAGACATGTCTGGTGGGAACATTTAATGTTGGGAAACACTGTTACATTGTCATTAAAATATTGCCTGAGAATGAATAATCTCTGCCAACATTTTTAACGGAAAGGTCATACCCAACCCCTCATTCTTCCTCTGCACCAAAATGTCAAAGTACTGGGTTTGGTGGGGCAAAGCCATTTCATTTCAAATTTAAAGTTCTATTCTGTTGTGCTACAACTTTTATGTTTATCCTAGTTCACAATGAGATGCTGTATCTCAGGTTGATCACTGCAAGAACAAATATCAAATGAGATGGTTTTGCCTTGTTGAAGTAATTTACTTTAACCCTGCTCAAACAAGCAAATTTTATGGAAACAAAAACAGTGGTTTCAAACTGAGCTTTCTTGAATTTGCATTAGGCAGGAAATTTCTATGTGAGGGCTTTGCTCCCCCTTGGGACTCACAGTTTTTCCATCCTTTTCAAAGTTTCGTCAGATAGGAAAGCTCATTTTTTTGCAGCTCTGGTAATTACAAGCAGCTTGGCTAACACATCCACCCATGTTTGGATAGCGATAGAGAGAGGCTAGGTTTTGGCATACAGATAAAGGTTTCCAGGCATCCTGTGTCCAGTCTTTCTGCAAGGACCACCACTCTCTTTATTTTGCATAACTCTTTTTCACCCTCTGCAAAAAAAAATCCCTCTCTCAGACATCAGCATCTTTTCTAACCAGAGCTCTCTTCTACGGGTGACACATTGTCCTGGCATTTCCGGTGGGATAAGACTTCTCTTGGCTTTGTCAGATGCTGAGGGATAACACACTGGAAAAATGGACCATTCCCATCAGGACACACTTTTCAGAATCTCTCCATTAATGTTTAATGATTGTTTTCTCCAGCAGAGGCTCCTGGCTGGACATTAAGAAGCCTCTGTGTCAGGCTGTCCAATCGTTAACTTCTGTTTCTGCCTAAATCTCTGAAATTTTTAACTTAAGGAGGGCAAAAGATTCAGAACATTCTCAGCAGCCACTGGAGGGTGTAAAATGAAACACTTCAATCATTAACATCAGGGCAGAAAAACATCCCTTTGGCTTCCCTGGCCCAAATGCCCATTGCTGCGGAGGGAACAAATGGCCAGAGGATGACCCCATCAGCCAGGTGGACGTGGGTCCCCATAAGCGTGATTTCAGTGGGAGGTGGGCACGGCCCAGAGGGACAGCAACTGTCCCCAGCAGTGGATCGTACTTGTGCTCACTTCCCAGGCTGGAGCATGGTTCCTGGTTCTGCACTTGGGAGGAGTTGCCTTGTCTGCAAACGGCCTACTGTGAACATGTCCCGCTGCTGGCTTGAGGTCCTGGGACAATCTAGCACGTTCTTGCTCATGACATGTGCCATGAATATGGGATGTTTCAGGTGCTGTCTACTAGTTCTGCTGGATTTATAGCTGTTTATGCACAGGAGTAAACCACTTTTTGACCTCTTTTTCTGACTGTGACTGGACAGGGGCTCTCACTCCCCACCCTTGAGCGCAGTACAGGAATGCTGGGCTTTCTCTCTTGCTTATGTGAAATCACAGCTTTGTCTCTGTCTCTGCATCACCCAGATAACTTTTCCCTGCCCTTGCAGGTAGCACTGCTGCGAGCACATGCAGGGGAACATCTGTTACTGGGAGCTGCCAAGAGGTCCATGGTGTTCAAGGATGTCTTGCTGCTAGGTAAAGAGTGCACTCCTGCTCCCGGCCCATCAGCTTCTGTGAAGCTTCCCTGCCAGGGTGAAGGAGAGGGTAGTTCAGTGTTTGCAGGCATCGGTTTTGCAGGGTGGTGGCTTGAGCTTTTCTGTATTTTAGCAAGCCTAGCACAACCTCTGGGTGCAGCTAGGCCTGGCTGACATTCACATCAAGGCCACGACATGTGGCAAAGTTGGGGGACTATCAACATTCACATTGCCCGCCCCTCCCAGTTTGTGTAAGCAGGCTGTGGTGTGATTGAGAAAAAGGCTCTTGCTCCTCAGTCAGCTTTTCCTCGCTTGAGTGACTCCTGTGTAAGGAGAGGCTGCTCTGGCAACACAGATCAGCATTTCTGGCGGGCTGAGCCAGGGAAGGGGCAGAAGGAGGAACTTGTTAAGTCCACCCTCAAAATTATCTCAGCATTGGTTACTTGGGTTTTGAGCGCCTTGACGCCCTTGATAAGTGTTGGGCAATGACAAGGCGATGGTCTCTGTGCTGCTTGTCCAAAGGAAACGACCACATCATCCCACGGAACTGCCCCGAACTGGTAGAGGTGAACCGCGTAGCCATCCGCATCCTGGACGAGCTGGTCCTCCCCTTCCAGGAGCTGCAGATAGATGATAATGAATATGCCTGCTTGAAAGCCATCATCTTCTTCGACCCAGGTATGCTCCAGCTTGGTGAGGGTTACCATCAGAGGGGACTAGTCTGGGTTATGCCAACTAATACTGGTCCTGAGTTGTGGAAATGCTGCCTGGTCTCCTCTCTGGGCCAAACTGTTCTTAGAGGGAGGGGAGAAGTCAGCCTAAGAAGAGAAAAAACATCCATTACAGCAAAGGATAGAGAATCAGAGACAGCTCACCTCAGCCTGCACCCAGACTTGATGCTATTACTGAGGGCAGCTCCTAGGGAAGCAGCCTGGATAGTTTGTTTTGTGGGTTATTTCAGATGCCAAAGGACTCAGTGACCCCTCAAAGATCAAGCGGATGCGATACCAGGTGCAGGTCAGCCTGGAGGACTACATCAATGACCGGCAATACGACTCACGGGGCCGCTTTGGGGAGCTGCTGCTGCTGCTGCCTGTGCTGCAGAGCATCACCTGGCAGATGATAGAGCAGATCCAGTTTGTCAAGCTCTTCGGCATGGCTAAGATTGACAACCTGCTGCAGGAGATGCTGCTGGGAGGTGAGTGCTTGAGGGTCCTACAAGAGGCCTTTTAGTGTTCCCTGATCACTGTCCCCTTGAGAACCTCCATAGCCATTGTTTCCTACCTGAAAAAGGTGGAGACAGCCTGTATGCAGGTCAGCCCTTGCCTCACACAAAATTATCTCCCCCTATCATTGGCAGTGGTAACAAAGGGTCCCCCATTTCTACTCACCTAAAGAGATGCATTAGCTGTGCATCTATTTACAGAGAGGCATCCCCAGCCCTCTGCATGCAGACAAGCATTGCTGTGCAACCCCCAAACTCCTATCAGCCAGCCATTTCACTAATCCTTCTCTGTGTCAGAAGGGCGTCATCAAAACAAAAGGGTCTGAAAGCTCAGGTTGAAAGTGTCCCAGATTTTCTAGTGGGAGCATCCAATGGGACAAAACAAAATGAAAAGTTGCCACCATACTATTCTTTAGATGGAGCTGTGACTCAGGAAGAGAGGAATACGATCCTGTATAAGCGGAAATGCAGGCAGAAGGCAGGGGTTAGTAAGCCCAAGGCATCCATGGAGGAAAATGGGAAGGGTGTGCTCCAATCACATATGCACAAGCTGATCACGCACAAAGCCTTGGACATATTGGTGCAGTGGGTCTGCCCATCTGAACTGTCTCCTGCCATTGTGACAACTAATGTATTATGCACATTTTCAGGCTCATCAAGTGAAACACCGCATGCTCACCACCCCCTGCACCCTCATCTGATTCAGGAGAACCTGGGAACAAACGTCATTGTGGCCAACACAATGCCTCCTCAGATGCACAACGGGCAGATGTGTGAGTATCACCAGAGAGACAGAGAGCTCCCAGGAGAAACCGAGAGCTTTCCAATGTGCCTGTGGAGGTAATTCCTACCACACAAGGAAAATTTCCATGCGAGACAAAATCTCTCATAATGAGTGTGTGAGAAATTCCTATGCAGAAAGGAGAGAAAGACAAACAGAGAAGTGGGTTAGATTAGATCAGGCTAGACTAACTGATTCAACAAAATGTTCCCTGGCAGACTGTAACTTTTATATAGCCCTTAAGGGGCTGAGTGATCCCATCCAGTCCACACTGAAATCAATGGAAAGGCTTTCTTTCCCTTGAATGGTTCAGACACACTTCACTTTGCCCTCTGCAAAAACACAGGGGAATCTGGGGCCACCACATGGGGCCACTACTTGGGAATTTGGGCTGAGATGACCTCAGCTGACCAAAAAAGTGACCAGTACAGGTCCAAATGCCAGCAGCTCCCCTCATTCAATGTTCATTACTGTGGTTCTTCCAGGGCATCTAACTGTGCCTAAGCTATGGTTTTGCTACAGAGCCTCTGCCTTGCTTACACCTGAACTTCGCACAACTGAGGATAGGTCCCAGTGCTATCAGGTCCATGAGGCTCTCTTCTAATTTTGTTTCTCTCTCTGTAGCTACTCCAGAAACTCCACAGCCATCTCCACCTGCAGGCTCAGGACCAGAGCAATACAAGCTGCTGCCCGGAGCCATTGCAACCGTGGCAAAACAGCCCACCTCCATCCCGCAACCTGCCATCACGAAACAGGAGGTCATCTAGCAATCTGCAGACCAGATGGCCTCATTTAGAAGACCGTGTGGGACAAAAGCCTGAACTGACTCTGTCACTGTGAAAAGAGAAGCCATCCAGAGGTCAATGGGTGCAAACACACAGACTTGCTTATTGGACTAGTCCACCACCACCAAAAGCTGTCTTCCTGCAGCTACGGACAGCGTGTGCCACGGGCAGCCCTGAGTCCCAGAACTAAAGCTGAAGCCTTACTGAAACCCTCAGTCTTTGTTAGAAGGGCCAGATTTCTGCCTCCCTCTGTGGGGAGGTTGCAGTGACTGGCTGGGGACAGTGCACCTGGCTGTTACCCCATTGCCACCTCTCAGCGTTGGTTCAGCAGACACCAGTCCCTGCGAACAAGCAATTCCCTGTGCTATGTGAATGGAGGGTTTCCCTCCCGCAGCCATGCCATCTCCCCAGACAGTCCCCAGTCCAGCCAAACTTGATGGAGATGGAAGCTCCCCCAGGAGCATCACAGCATTACAGAAGGTGAAGCACACGGGTTTTGCCCAGGCATTACTGGCAGAACCACTCCTCAGCCTTGGCTAGTCCCAGGTCTTTGCATGGTGTCACCTTCCAGCACACTAACTCCCCCAGCCGGGTCTAACAAATCTTTTCAGCTGATACTGGGGCAAAGTCTGGCCCATGAGGATTCTCCACTATTTGGATCCTTCTGCCTTTTGAGGGGTTTTGTTATTTCTGTGCCATGACCACCCTCCCACCACAAGGCTCAAAGAGGCAACCACTGCCAAATCCTTCCCTTACACCACTTACTGCCTCCTTGCTACCTGGACTGGGAAGTTGGGGGACCACCGGATTCAGGAGATTTCAGCTGATGGGATGAGGTCATCCCCATACAGGCTGGCGGTGGGCAGCACTGCCCAAAATATCAGTGGCCCCACTATTGCCTCTCAGCTGTCAGAAGACGACCACTTGATGCCTATTTGGAAGGAAGCGGGGGTAAGGACATACGAAGGGGAGAGACCTGTGAGGGTGAGAAGAGCCCAAGCTTCACAGGTTGGACCAAGGTCTTGGGCTGCCTAAGTGTTGGGAGCATCATGACCTAGGATCTCAGTTCAGACCCAGCTTTAATGCTAAAATATGCCATATAATCTACTTGTCCAGTCCAATGCCACTCCTTCAGCTTAGAGTGGTTGATAACAGATTTATAGGTTTTCATAACATGATAAGAATTCATTATGGCTCCTTCAGACCTCAGAGGGTCTGAGGGCAGCAACCTCAAAACCACAATGCTTTGAGTCCTGCAGAGAAGAACAACAGATGTCAAGGAAAGACCCTGTCTCACCCAAGCCGCTTGGGTCTGCCCCAGCCTTGGGTCTACACCCGCCTGCCCTGCTCCCTCCCTGCCACAGTCCCCGTTTCTCTGTGCCTGCCTGTGCCAAAACCCTGCAGATCTGACCTTTGGTTTAGAGCTGAAACCAGGAAAGGAGCCTCCCGCTCCCAGCGCATGCCTATCTAGGTGCCAGCAGGGCTGGAGCTCGCAGAGCCCTGCACAAATTCAGGCTTAGAGTAATTTTTGGCAGCGCAAGGCAAAAGCAGCTCTAACTAACCATAGACTTTGTGGGGCGCTGGCCTCTCGGGAAGATGAAGCTGGTGGAACCATGGCTGCCGAGAGGTCCCTGGCAGGGACGAATCTGAGCCAGCCCAGCCAGAGGAGCTGCAGGTCTGTCCCTTGATTTCCAATGCAAAAATGAAACACCTCACCTTGTGCTGATGGTGTCAGAAGCATTGTATCATCTCTCAATGCTGGTGGCATCGTACTGAGTAATTTATTGTAATGATGAATCCAATCATTTTCTGTAAATTATTTTGTAAATCATATTGATTATTTATAATTGGGAGATTAAATGCAAAAAACCCATAATAACCAGGCTGTCTTTTCCAACTGCAGCAACCTTTTTTCCTGTATGTAGACATACTCTGTGGGGAATCCTTTCTGGTCCATTTGCACCAAGCATTCCTCGATATTGTACATTAATTTTTGCTGGTTACTGCCTTCCAATGGAAACAGAGGAATATTTCTTCACTAGAGTTTGTATTCATGAAAAAAAAAAAAAGAAATAAATGCAAAAATATTTTCTAACTTTTCCCAGACAGATGGATTTCTTTCTTCTGGGAAGATTTATTTTAAATCAAGGGGCTCACCTCCCTGTTGGTCTGAGCACAAAGCATATGTGTGTTGGGGAAAAAGCCCAAACAAGTGTTTGATGCTGTCGCCAGCTGTCACTATTTCCTGGCAAGCCTAATGTTAGCTGGTGTCTGTCCTGAAGCCATGTGTGCTGGAATCATAAGATTGAATGACAATCCCAATTTTCATTAAAAGAAAAACAAACATGAGAGTAAATATTTGCTTTCATGATTCCAGGGAGCTTAAAGACTTGAAGTAACCACACTCCGAAAGCCAAGCAAAGGAAGCCCAAATATGTTATTAGCATTTCAAACATGTTCATTTTTAAGTCCTTCCTGTATTTCAAAGGTAATTTCTGAGCACTTTGGGGTGATGATTCTGCTTTGGTTCACATATAGCCAATGTATTGCTGGCAGCAGGTGCAGCCAAAGGCAGACTGAGCCTACAGGGCACAATAAGACGATAAAGTGAAAGTCAATTTGTCACTGGTTGTAAAGGTGAAGAAATACACTGACAATTAAAGAAGGCTCCTGATGACCTGCTCTTCCGATCACAGGAGCCTGCTCTCAGCTGTAGCATGCCCACGAAGATAATAGGAAGATGGGAGAGAGGTCTAGATGGCTGTAAAGATTAGGTATCTGGGGAGGAACAACATCCAGCATTTTTAGCTCTGACCTGCAGGAGATGCCCCTCATGTTCCCCCATCTCCAGCCATGGGAAATGAGGTAGGCAGTCTCATCCCAGGTATGACAGATGAGAAGCAGCCTGATTTTCCATCCCACTTGCATATCTAGTGGCTTCCCAGTGACAGTCACACTGGTGAAAACTGTCAGCACGTATGAGATGCAAGGATGAGATTCAGACTGTGAGAACCATGTGGAGACAGCACTTAAAGCCTGCCTCCAGTCTGGAGCCAAGGACCCAGGAGAGTAGGACAGACCTCAAATAACATGTCCTCAATACCTGTGCACCCGTGATGACCCAAAGCCCCAACGCCACCGCTGAATCCCCGAACAAGGTCAGAAAAGGCAGTTGCAGGACCTGTGTTATCTCAGATAACGACTGAGTGGTTAGTCCAGTCAAGAGAAGGAAAAGGAGTTAGTTTCTTCTTTTTAAACTGGAATAAAAACCAGGACTCCTCTGATTGTCACAGGAACCATGTGACCCATGGTTGGTTTCACCTGGGTATATGCCCTAAAAACTCCATATATGTAATATCAAATCTTTGAAGCAATAAATTCTCCTGGATTCCTTCCCATGAACTGCTCTATCAAGGTTGCCCTTTACCTGGTTAATCTTAAATCAGTGCAGTACCTACAGGAGGTTTCTTATTGCTGGATTCAGCTTACTTGGAAAAAAACCCACAAACTGCCCCAGAGACAGCCTTGTCCTTAAGTGGCGTTCTTGATCCCAACCCTCACCTCTTTTGTCACTCCAGCCTGGAATCACCCTGAGACACTGGTCTTGCCACTCATGGGCTGCGTTTTATCCTGCTGGGCTCCCTGGAGCCCACAAGCAATGACCTATGTCACAGGAGGTGGCTGCCATAGAGACAGCTAGTATTGGCCTTTAAGACACAACTTCTTTACATTGTTTTTGGACATGAGAGCTTTTTACTGACCTCATCTGTGCTTGCAACCTAGACTAAGGATGATTTCCTGGAGAGCAGTATCTCCAGCCGTGAAATCTTCTCACAATGTCCAACCAAAGATCTGTGAAAGTGGTATTTTTTAGGTCCTCTGGCCACTATGAAATGCGTTCTTTTCATATTCCTTACATAACCTTCATCTGAAATAACCAACAGGCTTTGGAGCCTTTTCCACAGCTTTCATATCTCAGTGGAAGAAAAAAAAAAAGGCAAACGAGTTTTATGGCCTGCATACCATCTCTGACAAAAGCAACTACTGCTGCTATTAAACTTGCAAGTACACACACAGGCACAGATAGTGATGAACAAGAGGCAGCAGGGACGGCTCAGCAACGTGGCACTGCTGAGCCAGGCAATTCTGTGTGCCAGGCTGGCCAGTCCCTCAAGGCTGGGTGCAAATATCACCAACCAATTTGGGAATTCAGGCCACACACTGTACAACCCCTTTCCACTCAGAGAGGTTGTAGAAGGAAGGGTAAGGTGTGGGTATGTTTAAAATCCCTCTCCCCATTCCTAATTGAGGTGTGACCCTGATAATCATAAACACACCTAGCACCTGAAAAATTGCCAGCCAGGCCAATAAAAATGGCAATATAGTGTCAGCTTCGTTAGGTGTAGAGTGAGCAGGAGAGCTTGGCACAAACAAGACTGCAGTCATGTCGTTCAGTTCAGTGTCCTGTGTAAGAGACAAGAGGCTGCTGGGGTCAACAGAGTGCTCCCAGTTCAAGCCCAGGGGGAGAAGAGTTCTGAGTTTAACCTGGGTCTTGGGAAGGAAGGTGGTTTGGGAGCTGTATTTCCAAGGCTTACTCTGGCTTTAGACCTGAAGTGATGGTAGGCTTGCCTGGTCATGGCTACTTCATCAGCTTTCAGAGCCCTGAGGCCACCCCTAACTTGGGAGATCAGTTGCAGAAGAAGATATGGATTACACAAACCACAGGGCTCTGCAGGCCATGCTCCATTTCAGTCCCTCGCATCCGGCAGCTCTGCCAGGCTGGGGCCTGCAGTCCCTTGTGACCCCACGCACACATGAAGACCAGGGAGTCCTTCTGAGCCTGGGGGACCCCACACCAGATGACTCTGGTCTCGGGAGCTGTTGTGATTCCTTACATCCTCCTAGAAACTGCTATGGGTGCAATAAACAGTGCAAGAGCTGCCTGAGGCACATGCCTGGATAAACACCCACAGCAGAAAACATTGTGATTTGGACAGGAATTGCTCACTGCAGCTGCCAACCCAGGTGTTAGCACTGGCTGGAACATGACATGTTCCCCCTCACTGACCAGGAAAATCATTACAATAAAGTAACTCAATAATACACTTCTCTGTTCCTCTCCAGGATGCTCCAAAACTTTACTGTGCCTTAAAAACACCCATTAATTGATCCTGCCAATAGGTTAGTATTACCATTAACCACCGACTTGGAGTGCACTGGTTCATCCATATCCTAGGATCCACTCAGAGCTGATTTGCAGAGGATACAAAGCCTTAAAGGTCCGCCTAAATAGACATGGAGGTCCCCAGCTCATGCACCAGCTAAGATGGCAAGCAACTGACAAAAAAAACTTGAGGCAGAAGCAGCAAAGAGAAACCTTAGTGCCAGACTCAGACTCCCTGACTCTGGACTACAGCACTCCTGGCACAGCTAAAGGACAACCATGGGGGTCCTCAGTTCTGGGTGGTTTTTAGCCCTCTCTTAAAATTACCTTAAGGTGTGGTCTTGGAGCAGCATCCTCTCACCTGGGAGAGCACACTGGAGAACTGCTGTGCTGCATGCCCATAGAGGAGGCAGTGGAGAAGCTCCAGCATCACAGGCTCTTACATTTCCATTGAAAACCTACTATTTCCAGGCTCCTCACAGCCCACCACGCAGCTGCATTCTTTCACCCCAAGGCTGTGCAAGTGCCTGAGATATTACTTAGGGGTTACTCCAACACCCAACCCTGCTTCACTCCTTCCCACTGATATAAGGGCTTGTGATGGAGACCACACTGAAAGCCCCAAGAGTTAAAGCATCCAGTCCAACCCAGGGAGCAGCAGTGCTTCCTTCATTCTGCCCCTGGAAATTATCCTATACCATTTACCAACCAGGTTCCTACAGGAGCAAACCCGAGTGTTTCTAACTGCTCTAACATGCTCAGCAGCACTGCAGCCATTGCCATGAAGGGGCTGGCAAGGAGCACAGGTCCCTGAGCAGCACCTTCACAGCCCCCCGTGAGGGCTAATCCTGCCAAGGACCCTTCCTATCACAGAAACAGCTGCTTTCCTTCCAGTGTGCAAGGGCACCGCGAAACGCAATGAAAGACTGGGAAAACACTGTCTCACTTTGCAGTAAATTGGGGGTTGGACTAGATGACCTTTAAAGGTCCCTTCCAACCCAAACTATTCTATGATTCTATGAAATTAAACTACGGAAATCCCGTAATATTGAAAACATTCAGAGGTCCTGCCAAGCACATTCCTTGCCAAGCTTTTGCAAAAACACTGCTGCTCTTGAAGCTAGTAAAGCCAAGAAGAGAAGAAGTCTTCTCTCAAAGCCTGGGCTGGGTACGGCTGCATGTCTGTGTCACACCACACGCTTGGCTTCCTGGTGGTCTAACTGCACGTTAGCATGACTTTACATGCCTGGGTGGGGGGTGCCTGCCTGTGCACAGCTGCTTCGGCAGCAGATGCTACAGATTTGTGTGCATTTGCATATTAGTGCCTGTTTCCATAGCTTTGCATGTGGGCCTGGCCTGCCATAACGTGCGTGGGGAGCGCATGTGCAGAGCAGGGGCAGTGCTCTGCAGCACGGTGTCTGCTTCTCACAACTGAGGTTGTCATCCGTGAGATCCCCTCCTCACACCATGACATGCAGGGTGAGAGCAGGCATGGAAGCCTGTCCTGGAGGATGTACACTTCCAGGCTTTGAGACCATGAATATTTATGGTAATTTAGGGCATATTTTCTTAGTCACTTCACCCTTTGAGAGCAGAGGAATAGCTGTTGGATTGTATCACAGCCAAGCGCTCCATGGGTGAGGCTCCATGTCTGGAGCAGGTTTACACCAGCCTGGTGTGGCCTGGCCTGTGAGGATTAGTAGGGGCTGCCATTTCTCTACAGCCCTTTCCATTCTGCTGGACAGGTGCAATAGAAGAAGCTCATGCTTGAGATACAACACGGCCCCACGCACAGGCAGACCTCGCCCAGCATTACAGGACTAGTGGCTCTCTGTTCTGATGCTGAGCTGCCCAAAAGTGTTCTGTAATTTGTGGGGACCAGAGGTCCCACCTGCACCCCAAGTACCAAAGCCCCTCTTGGCCTGAACTGCACATAGATTATCTTTATTACAGGACTGTTATGTTTGCACAGTTTAGAGATTTAGTATCAGTTTAAAGCCTTCTCTGTGAGCAATGCTGTTTGAAGTCATGCTGTTTTCAGCCTCAGCTTGCCAAGACTGTAAAATGTTTATTACTAATGGTAGAAAAGCTTAAAGAAGCCAAGATAACTTTCCCAGGCTGGGTACTAAGACTGTTCAGTTAAGTAAATGAGTGAAGAGTATTACATGGGCTTCATTAAATATCAACCAACACCAACAGCCATTCATTTATAACACAATGGCAGGGCGTGGGAGCACCCAGGAGCAGAGCTCCTGTATGAATCGCATGTGATAGGAGACATGAACATGAGAAGGGCTGGATTCCCCATGGGGCTCCCAGTGTGGCTCCCAAGGTCAGGCAACACAACTCCTGACTGAAGCTCCTGCAAATACTGTAGATTTGGAGCTGATGAAGTGGCAGAGTTGGTGCGGTTCATCTCCTCTCGGCTGGGGAGGGTTGCATGCATGCGGTGCAGTATGTCCTTCTCCCTCCTGCAGCTGTGGGTAAGGACAAAACTCTTCAGCTAGGGGACAACTGTCAGTGCCCGGATGTTTGTTTTCAATTTTTAGCTTTTACTTCCTTATAGACAGGTTCTGCCTTTACTGGTTTCTAGTCACAGGGTTCCAACACCAGGTAGAGTAAATTACAGAAACTCTTGCTACCGTTCCTGTGATTTCATGTGCCAGTACTTTAAAACTCCCCCTACAACCTGGCTTGGTGCTTGAACCCCTCACTTGCACTCACCACCCACTGCTCAACTTCAGTTCAACATTCGCCACATAAGGAAAACTGAGGTAAGATAGTTACTTCATTTGGAGACCATCCCCAAACTATATTTCACCTCCAATCCTTCTGCACTATGCAGTATTCTCACTTCTACTTTCCTTCTTTATTCTCTCTTACCTGCCTAAGGCTCTTGCTCTTATTTTAATATCCTTTTTCATATCACTCTCAGTGTGATTGCTACCGATTCTCACTTGTTTCCTGCCCTTGTTCCCCAAAGCAGAGCTTCCTTCACACACCACTCCTTTCAAACATCCCTGCTTATTCCTAACATCCTGTTGCAGCAGCTATTAACCAGGCAGGTCTGAAACTGCCGTCTCCCTGCTAAATTTTCCTCACTTGAGGGGTGCAAATTCCAACCAGATTTTGCAACCTGTAGCATAAATTCCTGTTTGCAGCTCCAGTACTTCCCAGCCGTTTGGTGTTTTGAAGCCTTTTCTCAGATCAGCCCTGCCTCTCTGCTAACTTCAGCAATCAGCTGGATCAGGTGCATCCAGGAACCTCCTTCATCCCTTCAGCTGAGGCCACAGACCCACGTCCCCAACACACACCTTCTCTCTCCCTCCAAACTGTGTCTGCAGCTGCCACCTTCAGGCTCTTACCTCTGCCCAGGGACTCCAGGTCCCGCCTGGCTGCTTCTCTCATGCTTGTGCTTCAGATCTCTGTGCCCAGGAGTGGTACAAATGGAAATGGGAGCAATGTAAGGTCTCTTGTCCTCCTGAGGCCCCTTCCAACCTCATTTATCCCATGATCTACTGGAAAAGGCATGAAGCAACATCACAAATAGGTCTAATTCACACAGATCCAAGCTGGTCCCAGCTTAGGGCTTCAGCTTGCCAGGTTGCATACAGCTCTGAGCTGGCTGGGCCCAAAGCAGGGCTGGACTGGAACATCAGCATGGGGTTGAATCAGTGTACTCCCCTTCTCTGAAATGTCTCTCTGCAGGTAAACGCCTGTGGCACACTCAATTTGTTTCCATGCTGGTGTATGTCTCGCTAGGCACAGTGTCACTGAAACATTTTCCACTTTGGAAGGCTGAAACCTTGGAAGATAAATAAATCAGAGCTGAATCTCAGATGCTGCAGAAGGGCCTTGTTTCCCACTGTGGGCTCCTGGGATTCCCGCTCTTTGTCCAACTATGTTTGACTCCCTCTCCTGGCTGAAAACCCGGATTACAGCCAGGAGAAAAGAGCAGAACCCACCGAGCTCACAGGGACCGTCCAGCTTGGGGACAGTCCCTAGCAGGATGTTGAGCCCGTTTTGCAATCTAATTCTGCATCCATTGATCAGTGGGGTTAAAGAGGTGTACTTTTCCCCCCTCCCCAGCACTCCCCGTTGAACCCTTTTTAATGCAGCAAGCCTGGGATGACCATCTTATTTTTATTACACATTCCATGCAGAGAGGTCAGGCATCACCATCTGAACACCTGTGAGATATGGCTTTCTGTCCTCTCAGAAACCAAACTTAAACAAAAGAAAAAAACCCAACCCACCCAAATTCTGCCTTTATTAGCATTTAGTCCCTCTGTTGGCATTTAAATCCAGGCTACAGCCAGCACATCTCTTGGGCCCCGCTCCCATCCCACCACAGGAGCCAGCTGCGCTTGCCTGGACCCTTCTTTGAGGTTCCCCTAGCTCTGACCACGTTAATTCTGCAACTGCTCTGGCTTTCAGCTCGCTGGGGAGCTCTGGCTGGCAGGGAGAGGCTCTGGGGCCCACACACAGTGCTGTGAGCCCATTCCTGGTTGCCTTTCCCCTGTTCACAGCCTCCGAGGTCGCCACTGTCTCAGAGATACCGGCTTGGCCACAGATGGGGGAGGAAGGCCCAGGTCTGGCAAGGAGAGTCCCTGAGGACACGTCAGGTCACCGTGCCAGTGCTCCTGCTCTCGAAGGTCAGTTCCAGGCAGGCTTTATATATATATATATATATATATAAAATATATATATCTATTTATGCCTTTGTGGCTCACGGCTGGAGGCAATGAAATGTCGCTGTGAAAGAGGATGAGGTGGGATTACAGGGCAGAAGCGGCCCCCACGAAGCGGTCGCGGGGTTCCCTCACGCTGTACCGGGCAGGTACCAGAGACAGGGGAACACCCGCATTTTGGGCCTGAGGCCGAACCACACCCGTACCGCGCGGCGCTGCCCAGCGGGTGGGTGGGAGGGGGCTCCTATGGGGGGTGAGGACCCGGCGGGAGCCACTGCCGCCGGAGAGAACCGAAGCCCTGGACGCCGAGGTACGCCGCGGCCCTGACGGCCCGGACGCCATCGCGTCTGCGCGGCGGGTGCGCCATTTCCGGGCGGGCGCTGTACTTCCGGGGCGCCGCTGCCTGGAGACGGCGGTGCTGCGCGGGAGCGCTCCGGTACGGCGGCGGGGCTGGGCCCGGGGCGGAGGTCTGGGGCCGGCGGAGGGCTGCGAGGTGGTGCTGGGGCTGAGGGGGAAGTGGGGGGGTAATGCCGGAGCTGAGGGGAGGGGAGGGGTGGGGGGGGGGTAATGCCGGTTGAGGGACTGTGGGGGCCTTCTTGCCCCTATGCCCACCTCAGTGCCAGAAGCATTGGCAGGGCACTGGGGCTCCTGCGGTGCCCACAGGCAGACGCTCGGGCCGTCAGGGCAGGGGCCAAGGGTTTGGGTCCTGCACAGCCCAGGCTATAATGAGGTGAAGCATGTCCCTGTGAGCGATCTCAGTGCCCCGGGACCTTCCCCGAGGAGCCTGGGGAAGGTGTGGTAGAAGTAGGCAGTTCAGGTGTCTGCCACTGCGGGAGGAAGCTGGTTATGTGGGACAGGTATTATTCTCACAGGTGATTCCTGTGTGATATCCAAGAGTGGTATAATGTGCTATGAGTGACTCTGAATAGGAGTAGCTCAGAAAAAAAAGGTATGTTTTTCCCTTCCAGTCCTAGGTCAAGCTATAGGAAGTACACCAGGCTTGTAATCTTATGATTTTTCACTCGCCTCTATCCACTTGCTACTGGATTTGGAAATTAAGCTCCCAGTTCAGAACTATGGGCAGCACACTGAAAACTAGATTAAGCCTACCTTAATACCCACGCAATGCTGGCATAAGAGTCTGTAATTTTCTCACCTGCTCATCCAGTCTTGTGAACTGCAGCTGTTTCTTATATTCCTGGATGCTGCTCCTCCTGAATTGCTCAAAACATTCATGTGGGCAGATGTGCTGATCAATGCGCATATTTGCCAGAGAAGTTAATGAAAACTCCCGGTTGTCTGGACTCAGCTAGGAGAGGTTCTCAGAAGAGGGTGTAACTTGACCAAATATGAGAATCCTGCCTAAATGGGATGCGTTTACTTTCTTTAGTTTCCAGTTGGACATAGGAAATAAATGTTAAGGCAAATTAAATTTTGTGTTTTGCAAAGAAGCTGTATAACTTTGTATTTTAATTTTTATTTTTTTTTTAATTTGGTTAGGTTTCATCCAACGTAGTTTTCTATCCACTATGCAGGATAAAGAGATTACAAAAACCTGCACTTTTTAATCCTAGGAAGAGAATTAAAAAGCCTGAACTGTGCTTCTAGCTGTAGTGCCAGTTTTTGGAAAGGGCAGTCTCCTCAGCTGGAAAATGGAGGGATACAGGACATAATAAATATGAAAATAACAAATATGCTTGTTAGTCTGTGGGATTGTTTATCATGTGTAGCGCTTGGTTTTTGACAGATTCCTGCTACATTATGTCAGGAGACAGCGACTGCACCAGGACAAGTCCATCAGCAGGGTCTCCATCAGACAACGAGTTCTTGCCAGATCGGCCAAAGTATGTTTGCTCACTGTCTCCTGATCTCATTACCAAAGCCCGGGAAGAGCTCCAGGAGAAACCTGAATGGAGGCTCCGTGATGTGCAGGCACTCCGAGATATGGTGTGCAAAGACTATCCCTCCCTGGGGACCTGCCTGGACGATGCTTTTTTGCTAAGATTCCTTAGAGCCAGGAAATTTGATTATGATCGAGCGCTTCAGCTTCTGGTGAACTACCACACCTGTAGGAGGAGCTGGCCTGAGGTCTTCAATAACTTGAAGCCGTCTGCAATAAAGCCTGTCCTAGAGTCTGGTTTTGTCACTGTGCTGCCTCGTCTGGACCCAGAGGGACGCCATGTTGTCTGCATCCGCCCAGGTACTAAAATGCGTGAATATCTTTGTTCTCTGTCTTTGAGGTGTGTCTGGGCCAAAAATCTGTTTCCTGCTTTCCTGTGAACAGTGGTTACTCACACAGAGTATGTGGATTCTCTTTGAAATTTGAAAAGCTAGCTTGTGAAGGGACATGTTTGTTGTTAGCCAACATTATACCAGTTCCTTTTCCTGTGTCAGCAATAACTGCAGTTATGTCAAAATGAAAATGCAATGAGGTGGGTTGATGAAATGTTAGGTGATTCAAGAAAAATTAATTAATATGTAGTAACTCAAATTGAAACAGGGCTGCTGGCCTATGGTTAGAAGCTTGTAATTTGTTTTAACAATAAGTGGAGGGAGGAGCCTATGGCTTTGACTCCCATGTAAACAATCAGAGCCTTCCATGTGCATTCGGTGCTGCCAGGCTTGCTGTAAATTTGTCTTCATTTGTTCTCCTCTTTTCCATTTACCTGCTTTCTTTCTGAGCTGAAACTGTTTCTAATAAGCTGTGCTGGGTGGAGAACGGGGTTCTTAAAACCGTTGCCTTTACTCCCTGAAGTAAACATGAGTTGCCATTTATGTCTTGCTTAAGAAAGGCTGCTCTGAACTAGGACTGTGGCTATTAAAGACTAACTTCTAAGAGTCCAGGAAAATGGAAAATCAGTTTTTGGAATGTGTATTGTTAGCTTATATTTACTCTTCAACTTACCATCCATGTCTTGTAACCTCAGACAGATGGACACCCAGTAATTATCCGATTACTGAGAACATTCGTGCCATATACTTAACGTTAGAAAAACTCATTCAGTCCGAAGAGACCCAGGTGAATGGAATTGTAATCCTGGCAGACTACAAAGGAGTCAGCTTATCTAAGGCGTCTCATTTTGGTCCTTTTGTAGCCAAAAAAGTGATTGGAATTCTTCAGGTAAGACCTGAACTGGTGGGAAAATAAGCTTGTGCATTGTAAATGACTGCTTCTGTGTCTAGAGTTCTTTACTATGTCACCAGAAACTTAAGCATCTTGGCTTTTACTAGCAGAGTTAAAACATGTCTCTGCCCAACCAGTTTCTCACGCCCTTGCCAACTTACCTCACTTGCCCTTTTTTTGACTTTTGCATCCCTAAAACTAAATTTGCATTACAAATGCAAACTTTGAGTTAGAACAGGAGAAAAAAGTAGTTCTGCTAGGTAGTGGTAAGGAAGAGAGAGAGCAATGAATTACAGTTAGAGAGAAGACACCTTTTTGCCTGAATGCTGAAGAATGGCTTGTTATTTAAATGGTTCCTGTCAGCCAAGACACTGGGCAAGTGGAAGTTCAAGTACTGCTGCAAAAATTTTGCAGAGAGGACTTTTGAATGGGTGTGATTTGAGGAGGATTTCCATCTGCCACCTGAAGGAAGAGAAGCTTCTTCAGCATAAGGGGCAGCAAAAGAAGAGACAGTAATAAAAAGGATCTCCCACTAGGTGTTTGGAAGGAAAACATTGGAGAGCAAGTTAGAGCAAGGGTGTAAGCACAAGTGGAGTTGTACAAAATAGGAAGGTGAAAGGAGTGAGGAGTAACCTGGCCAAAGTGGCAGGAAGGTCTAATGATTTTACTTGATGTTCTACCATACTATCTGGAGGAGTGAGATGAGGAAAACTTCTCTTGAGTGGGTTCATTCCCTCATTACTTTTATTCTGGCCTGAGCTAGTTATGTTCTTTGTTGTTTCTGGCGGGGGGCGGGGAATAAGGAAGGATAGGGGGAATCAGGTAAACTTATGGAGATGAGACTAGTGAGTTTATGAATGCCTATGTAAGAACTTGCTCCTTTAAATTATGATCTAAATGAGTCATTTAACTGTCTGCGCCCATACTTAATTTGCACAAATAAAGTGATGGGTGTCCTGCTGTTGTTAGTGGAAGCTATTCACAAAAGCTGAACTTGGTGAAGGATGTAAAGGTATGGGTGGTATATAAACATGTTGCATCAACCTTGCTGAGCTGCATCTCTTGTAAAGATGAGCTAATTCACTGACCTTTGTAAGCAGAAAAATAGTCCTGTAGTGCATGTTATCTGCTTTTCACTCCAAGCGTTAACTGCTTGCTTTGTCAATGTACAGCTGGTTACAAGGGAAAGAAACTTGACCGTGGCACATAAGACCTTAATTGATGATCATGAGCTTTTGCCTTGGAAAAATGTTTCTGCAAATAAACTTCTCCAGCAGAAATCCCATAACTAACTGTTGTTTTAAACTGTCTTGTATCAGAGACACTGTGTGTTCTGTTGGCAGCGCAGCCTGTTTATCTTTTGTAGTTAGCATGACAGAATAGTTGGAATGGCAGAAAAATAGTGATATTAGATTTCTTCCTTGTATAAAAACACATTTTGGAGTGTCTTGGGCACCAAATCTTGTAGTTGGACACACCGCTAGAACCAGCCTGCTCTGGCTCTGAGCGTGGTGCACTCCTCAGAAGCTAGGGTCATCACTTTGTAACTGCATCCTTATCATGGTTGGGAATACCCAAAGGACAGTGATTACCTAACTGTCCTTGTCAGGGGAGATGAAGAACAACATGAAAAATTAAGATTTACTGACAGCAATATATTTCTCAATGCAAGGTTTTCTTGTCTCTTGACTTTATTTTTATGCCCATGGTTCTCATCCTAAGACCACTCCCTATTACAACATGCATTTCTGTTGCCATATTGGTACCTCAGATGAAAGTTTGGGAGCCAGTGGGTTGTGCTGGCAGTCAGTCTCAGGAGATTTTAAAAAGAGGAAGGTGGCAAATGTTTTTTTAAACTGAATTATAAAAATCTCGTTTTTACCCTTCAGGATGGATTCCCCATTCGAATAAAAGCTGTTAACATAATAAATGAGCCTCGTATATTCAAAGGCATTTTTGCAATCATCAAGCCTTTTCTGAAGGAGAAGATAGCAAACCGGGTAAGATTTGTGTCATTTTAACATTAACGTTTATAAGTTCCTTGCTTGGCCACTGCAAGAAAAAAATCATTGAAGAATCTCACAGCTAGAGAAATGTTGGTGCTGTTTACTTGATCTAACTTGTCCTTTCTGCTTTAATGTTTAAAAATATGCCTGTTGGGAAAATTCTTCACGAGAGAAAAGTTTTGAGGAATTTAATATTGGTATAACATTAATATGGAACTTTAGTACCTATGCTATGTATTCAGGGCACTAATTCCATCCCTGGGGTTGGACTATCTTGGCAAGTAATGCTTTGTTTATGAGGTGGTGTCACAGGAAATCTGTGTTGCCACTTCCTTGCTCTTCACTCTTATGCAAGCATCCTGCATGGCATGAGTATCCTCTCCATAGGACTGGATGTAGCTGCAAAGGATGATGATTTTTTTTCCCACAAGGATAAGTACTTCTAATCCCATGAACAAACTTGGGGATGAGTTGAATTTGGAACCTCTGCACAGACTAGCAAATGTCAAGTCTCTTTTGCTGGGATTTAGGCTGCACTAGACTTGGATCATCTCAAGGCTTCTCTCAGTAGTGTGTCTAACTGCACCTGCCCAATGTTGTATGCTGCCACTTGCCCATAAAGACATCACTTCTAAAATTTGCTCTTTAGCTCAAAATAAACTTGTTAGCTGACTGTTTCAGTAATTTGCTGTAAAGTTTGATATGCACTGTTCAAGCTATCTTTTGCTTGCTTTCTTCAGTTTTTTCTTCATGGCTGTGATCTGAATTCCCTTCATCAAAACATTCCTCCAGTGATCCTTCCTGAAGAGTATGGTGGTACTTCAGGGAAGCTGGACATCTCTGCATGGAATGAGCTGCTGCTAGCCTCTGAAGAAGACTTCCTGCATGATTTCTCACAGCTGGTTCTCCCGTGTGACAGCTCTCCCCATGACATGCTAGTGAGCGGGGATGCTGATGAAAAGCAATGTGATGATTCTCTGCGAGGCATGAAACCTCAACTCTATTACTGTTATTAACAAACCAGTGAAAGGAAGTTTTCCAGCACAGTTAAGATCTGTTCTGGTAGGTGATGTTGTGAACTCTGCCTTACTCCTAAACCTGCAGTTTAGGAACAGACCGCTGAGGCACTTTATACTGTAGAACCAAAGGAAGCTGAAGAGGGCACAATGGGGGCAGGGCAGAGTTCGGTGAGGATAAAAGCAAAGAGCACAAGTTATGTAGAATACTTGAGGCTCATCAACCTCTGTGTGAATAATGCAAACTGGCCTAGTCTTTCTAATGATAAAGAAAAAAAAAATACTGCAGGATGGTAAGCTTGATGGCTTCTTATCCCCTACCCACACAGGTGAAAAGTGATGACGATTATTTACTAGCTTTTTGACCATCTGTTTCCTTCCTCTTCTGCAAACACCAGTAATCCAAGACAAGAAAACTGCTTTTGAACCCTGCAAAATATAGTTCTGTCAGTGAGGATTGCTTAAAAACATAAAAGTCTAACTTGGCCTGTCCTCTGTCACTTGGTTCAGATTGTGAGTTGGTATTTCTGAAATATATCTCAATGAATATTTGTCTCAAATTAATACAGAGCAAAACTTTCTTATCCATGAATATCAGTATGGAGATCATCTCTGAAACTTCCTCACAGTAGGAAGAACTATAACTGGTCGATTAACCACTACATCTATGCCAAGGCTTATTATAAACAGATGCAATCTTCATTTTCAGAAAACAGGAAGTCTTTCAGGTAAAGTACTAAGGCTTTTGATTAGATAACAGCTTCAAATAATGAGGTTCAGGACCAAATAAGAAAAAGCTATGGCAGCCACCTTCCCACACTGTCAGTTGTTCTTTTCTTCAGCTGGTTCTGATGAGGAATTGGGTAAGTAACTCATACACAGAATTTGTAAGGAGGCTTTGCAGCAGTTGGCATATGATGTATAGAAGGCAATACTTCATGTGAGACAGCAAGGTGCTTCTTTAGCTTGTTACTTTGGGCAGAATTTGAGTTTACGTCTGTGAAACCAAATGCAGACAGGCTATTTGAAAGCACATTCTTAAATTTCCTGGTATTGTAGCATTTTGTTCACTGTGCTTGTCGGCTCTTTTGTGAAATGTTACAACTTTGTTTTCAACTTCGTCGACCTCTTTTGTCTTTGGTTATCATGTTCCTATATGAAGTTAGACTTTAATCATCTCTGTAATATTTACCTGTAGCTTGTATGCCTGTGCTTCTAGGTCTTTGTCTAGAGACAGAATTAAGACTCCGATGTCAAACCAGGGTAAGATAACTATGTCTAAATAAGCTGTTCCCACTCCCCAAGTTCAATCTGTTTAATGGTCTTGAATTAGAACTTAACTCTCAGCACACTCTTTGCACATGTTTTTCTGCACTATAATAGTGTGGAGATGGGAAACCTCATTAGGACCAGGAAAGCACACCCTGTTACATAAAGGTGAAATATTTCACTATTCGGTGAAAAAGAACATTCATTGTAATTGGAGATTTATCTCTAAAGCACTTTCTGTGGATGAAATCTTTAATTAGTGCCAAGTGTGACTACAGGTACCAATTATGTTTCTGTAAATATAAAACTAAAGCATCTTGAGGATTTCAGACATTCATTTTTCAAAGTGCCAAACTCTGTTTTGAATGTCTGTCTTCTTTCAGTCCCCCTACAGCATGATTGCACTGCCAAAGAGAGACTCATCTACTACTGTAATGACTTCCTCATCTGGCAGCAGACCTTGTTCTGGAACTAGGGGGTAGCAAATGTTATACCTGTCATCCAAGCATTACAAAAGGAAACTGGGCTTTGAGAAGGGGTAATCCATGAAGCTTTATTCTGGGTGGCATTTCAGAATTTGTGGGAGTAGGGAACTAATTGCTTGAACTGTTTTAGATTAAAGGTGGGAAGAGATTAATTTTCCTCACTGAAAGCATCTGATTTTTCCTACTTCTATAAGTCAATTCTTATGCCTTTCTGACAGCTATTACCTTTAGTGCCAGGGGAAAAAAAAAACCCTACCATTTTCATCTACTTAAAATAACGTAAAAGAGTACTGCTAGCCACTTGCTCATTTCTGACCAGAATGTGCTGCGTGTTTTGCAGAGATTAATTCAGTTCTTTGTGCCACCTAGCAAGACAGTAGCACACAGCACCAGGACTTAGAAAGGTAAGTGGCTGCCCATGCTGTTTTAACTGCCAGAACATAGAGAGTGGTGTTTATGTTAGTTTAGTGCCTCTTAATTCCAGCCACAATGTACAATTAAAAATAAATAAATAGGATGGACCATTTTTCCTGGAGGTGAAGGCATGACTGGTATTTAATATTCTTTCCTTAATTGTGCTGCAGGGTTTGAAGTGGTGGTATTTTGACAGTTAACCTATAAGAACAGCTAATTTGATCCCCTTACATAACTACTGGAGAGGGAGGTTGAATATTCAAAATTCAATTTAGTGTCCTTCAAAAAGAAAAAAATCTAGTGGCGTTCAGCAGAAGGCTGAGGAACCTCTACAGAAACCAAACCCTTTTTCAGGCTTTTATATTCTCTTATATGCCTTAAATAGCAGGCAAACTAGATCCATCTCTCCTTCCCCTTTTCTCCTCTGCTCACAGAGCAACTAAGAATAAAGCGTATGATTTAAACATAATAGATAAGGTATGTTATCAATGCTGAAAATAGCCTGTGTTATGCCTCTAGAACTTTTTTTTCTTAAAGCTGGCTGCTGGGCAGTTGATGTCAGGATGCTTGAACTAAACCAGGCTTGCTTTTATCAAGCATTGAACTGTTACTTCTAATTTGCTCTTTCTTGACTTTAGAACTCTGAGAGTTGTGCTTGGCTTGTCTTACAGAAAGCACAGCTCTGTCTTATATGCGCCTGACTATGGAGCTGAGAATGCTCTGAGCTTTGCTAGTAAGTGCTAAAGAAGTCAGTTTGTTTCCAAAATTTCTTATGTCAGCATTTGGAAAATAAATACTTGTTTTAAGTATACAGTCTCCTTATCTGCAAATTAAGAGACTAGATAGGAAAAGCTTACAGATTGGGGGTTTTGTTTGTTTTTTTTACAGCACTAAAACTGATCTGTTCTTTTTTCCACTTGAAATAACTTTGTTTCCAGAGTTTATATGCCTTGCTCAGTACATAAGCCAACGCCAAATCCAATGCATAATAAGGAAAGATACTTGAACTGCAATGGGCAGCCACGGCTTTTGGCATTAAGTGGGACAAAAGGTAGCTGCATACTATACATAAAAGTACTTGAATTTATACTCTTGCAAATGGGTGTTACAAACCCTGAGGTATTTTCAGGAACTGGGTGAAGTATTGTTTTTGTTAAATCTCATTTTGGCATGAGTTAATCATAGTGTTATTCAAACTAATAATTTTGCCTTCTGTTATATGTGGGCCTAGAGGTGTTGGGTGGTTAAGTGTACATCTTATTTTGACAGAATTTATTTTTATATTGCATTTTATAAAATGGAGTGGTCAAAATGTGTAATTTTATGATGCATGACTGGGTGATTAAACACATTGTAACAGCTGCTAATTTGATATTTTAAATGTTTGCCTTGTGTCATGTTGGGGTATTTTATTGTAAAACTCAATAGCAACATATAATTAGTTCCACACTAAACACATAGTTGCAACTAAGTATAATTGCCACAGTGTTATATCAGAAAAAGGTGTTGCTTTCTACTGCAGAACTAAATCTTACTTGAATAACTGTACCTGAGCAACTTCAAGGAATAGGATTTGACATTCAGAGAATCACATGGAAGATGCTATTTGTTTCAAAGGAAATATATTATGACTTAACTATTTGCTGCATGGAAAAAACAGCCAGTCACATCCAACTGGACACTGCAGCAGCTAATTATTAATCATTGCATGTAGTATTTTGTACTGGAGAATAACTGCTGCTTCTTAACACTTCTCAACAGAGCTGGGACAGTTTCAGTAGTTAGTCCACTTTATTCAAATGAGTTTACAGTGCAAATGCCTTAGTGCCAATAAAAATCATTTCATGTACATTATTTTTATAAGCATATTAGACAAGTGAAATCAATTGGAAGCTCTAGTTTTCCACCATAATCATAAAGTTGTTTAAGCTAGTCATATACTTGCCACTCAGTATTTGGCAAACATACTAAAAAAGAAGTTACCATAGAAGTTGCCTCTTGGAAAGGGCAAGTTTGCTCTTAAAAGGAATTAGAGTTAACCTGTTTTTCAACCTCAAAGTTCTGCTCTTTTGATGAGGAATAAGGGGGGTTTTGCCACAACACAGGAAGGTAAGTATAATTTAAATAAACTAACTTTTGCAGTGGAATGTAGAAATCAAGCAGCATGGCTTACACTTCCAGGAACTGAAGCATTAGCATACTAGTGCATTATGCTGAATATAATTGTTCTTTAAAATATATTACTTCATATTTAGCTAAATGTTACTTCTATTCAATAGAAAGGTTGTGGCTATTGGACAGAACAGATATTTTCTTTTGTGCTTTGACAGCACAGGTGTAGTGAATTTTAAAAAGGCAGTAATAAGATAATCATGACAAAGTTAAACTAGGAAGATAATAATTTTGATTCTGCATCAAGCATTATGCAATACATAACTTTCTATCCACCTGCATGTTAATATCAACATAAGAAACAGTAACATAGACAGTGTAACTAAAGCAATACATGAACATTTTGGCTTTCAGCAAAAAGTTTCCCACTTTTGTAAGCTCAGACAGGTGCAGCAATTTAACTGAAGTCCCTACTAGTAAGGACAAAAGGAGCCACTAGGGTCCAAAGATATAGAAGGAGACAAACCCAGCTGGAGGTTATCTTCACCCACACAGCCGGCCACTTACTTGTCATTGTCTTAAAATCTGCATCAGGGCTAAAAAGTAAAGAAAGAGGTCAATTAATAGATATAGAAGGCACCTTCCACTATTCTTTGCTGTCTCTCATATGAAGCTGAAGTTAGAACAATGATTTGGGACACTCCACTGCAAGAGCCTTTGCAGGAGCACAGTGAGACAACTAAACCAGCAATTTCCTGCATCTCCTTCATAAGCCTGTTGTTCTTGGTACCCAGTTTTCAAAATCAACCTGCTTGCAAATGTTAGTGCTACTCTTAAAGGAAATATTTGAGAGCGCTATGTAGTAGACTCCTGATGGCTGCTGCTCTGTAAATATATTTGCTAGTTTGTATAATATGGCAGTCCTGAGGAAAGTAGTTATAAGCTGCAGCAGCAGAGGCTATGTCCAAGTGCTCTGAAATCATATCTCCATTTAAGTAGCACGTATGGCTGTCCCTACACATCTTTACCAGGGTGAAGAGCCAGTAAGTAACATTAGGCTGGCCTTGGACAAACTTCCCAGGAGGCCACCCCAAGCCAATTTCAGATGTATCCTTCCTGCCACTTGCCTATCTGAAGGATGGTAACTATGCTTCCTGCCCTTGCAGCTGTGGAGCAGTCTACTAGGACTACAGCTGCTGATTTTGCCTTTTTTCACCTTAATTCAGCAACACAAAATTGAGAAAGTGCAACTGGCATAGGGACAGCACCTTAACCAGCTTGGCAGGAGTAGCTGAGTCTCCTATTCACCTAGCAACACTGGCTGGCACATACAACCCATTGCTTTCTGTCTTGCTCTTACCTGTACCAGTTGGTGAGTGTCATCATGATGTAAAGAGAGGCAAGGAAGAGCATGAAGTGAAAGAAGGTGTAGCTATACTGAACACCATCCTTCTCATTATCCATGACACGGCGCACTTCTCCTTCCTCTGCAGTCCCACTGCCTGTTCCCAGAGTCTCCTCCAGAACAGCAGTGTCACTCCCAGACAGGGTCAGCTTGTTCACCTGGCTGTTACTTGAAGAGCGAATGCTGCAGCGTAACCCAAAGACAGACATGGTTAAAACTCCCTTTTCAGTTAGCTATGTCTGCTAATAAAGCAAGCAACAGACCACAATGAATGTCTGGGACTAGCAAATGACATTTTTTAAAAATCCATCTGGAAACACAAGGAAACTCCTCAGAGAGATCTGTTTTCATCCAAGCTCTTGTTAACCTAATTAAACAGTGTTCCTAGTCCAGGTCTCATAACACATTTTGTTCTGTTACCTGAATTGAGTTAATAAAGCCTATCCTCAGCCACAAAACAGAATACAGTCTTATTAGCCATATTTGGGCTTGGGATTGAGACAGCAGCTGGATATGAATAAATGCAGGTACATTTTTCACTAGACCCAGATTCAAACAAAAAATGCAGACAAATCCCAATTGTTTCTCATTTGATAGCAGTGCAGATCCTACCTGGAATACAAGAGGCAAAGGACAAAGATAACCAATCCAACAACACTCTGGGCATCCCACCACTGTAGGGACTTGGGTGGAGCTGGAGTAGCAGGTACAACAGTAGTATTTGCTGGACCAATTGTGGGTGTAGCTATCTGGGTAATGATGTTCAGCAAACTTGGGTTACAGTTTCGTTCTGAAAGGGATTTCAAGGCAGATTAGAGAGAGATGAGTTTTGCCAGCATTTAGCTAAGATGACAGGTAAGCTTGCAATTTTTTTATTTCCTTTAACTGCTGATCTCTTAGATTCCCCAGAGGCAGGAATGGCATGGAATATCCTCTTCCTTCCTGTGAGCTAGGCAAGGGTGTAATAAATAAAAGAAATCAGAGTGCGCTGACACTGTTTTCTTTCCCCTCACAAATACCCCAGTTCAGTTCTGGAAAGAGGCAAGTTGATGGTTTCAGTAAAGTCAGCTTTACTGCCTCACTAGATTTTATCTACACAGTTCAGCAATCCCCACACAGTGATCTGTGATAACTATGAACCCCATCACAGCTTCTGTTGCTTACCAGGCTCATTGGACATGGCTGACCAAGTGAGATACATGGTGTAGAGTGTGATAACAGAGGACTGGAGGAGGCCAGAGCGAGGCAGATGTTCCTGTTCAAAGACAGAATAGCAAGCCAGGGTCAATAGGGCAAGTTTTAGCAACAGTTGGATAGTTTTACCCTACTGCCACAGATTCAACAATTTTTAGCATGAAAAACTTTTTATTTTTTAGAAATGCATTGGGCTTTGTTCTATCGGAAGAAACTCCTTAGAGTAATACAATTTATGCAGTGAGCAACTCGAACATGGAAGGAATAAGCAAACCAAATCCAGTTTTTTGGTGCCCAAGACTGAGTTAATCCCAGCTCGCTTAGCAGTTTTGTAGATATGAATCTAGCATGTGATTTATTTCATCATAGAATCCCAGGTTGGAAGCAACCTCAAGGATCATCTGGTCCAACCTTTCTTGGCAAAAGCATGGTCTGGACAAGGTGACACAGCACCCTGTCCAGCTGAATCTTAAAAGTGTCCAATGCTGGGGAATCCACCACTTCCCTGGGGAAATTATTCCAATGACTGATTGTTCTCATTGTGAAAAATTTTCCTCTTGTGTCCAGTTGGAATCTCCCCAGGATTAACTTGTACCCATTACCCCTTGTCTTTCCCATGTGATTCCTTGTAAAAAGGGAGTCTCCATCTTCTTTGTCACCACCCTTTAAATACTGGAACATGGTGATAAGGTCTCCCTAAGCCTTCTTTTCTCAAGGCTGAACAAACCCAGTTCTCTCAGCCTTTTCTCATACAGCAGGCTTCCCAGTCCTTTGATCATCTTTGTGGCCCTTCTCTGGACCTTCTCCAGCCTGTCCACATCTTTTTTGCAGAGCGGGGACCAAAACTGAACACAGTATTCCAGGTGTGGCCTGACAAGCGCTGAGTAGAGTGGGAGAATTTGAACAATACCAGTTGAGAATCAAGTAACATGCAAGCTTCCTCTCATATTAAACATGCTCACCCATACTTTCAAAGCCACAGTATTAATCCAATAAATTCCCATCTTATTTTGCTTTTCCCTAATGGGTTTCTCCGTTCTGCCAGAACCATCACCACTAAAACCACACCAGCAGTGCCCCACATGGAAACTAAGTCCAAAACAACGTTAGCCAAAAAAAGCCTATCTTCAGAAAAATACATCACTACATAGTGCATTGGTTTCAGAGCAAGATTTTTTTTTTTTTCAAATGTTCCTAGCTAGCATAGCTAGGATAGTCAAATTTTAAAGTTCTTATGTCTGAATTGGTACTACATCTTTCTTACTTCCATGCTTTGTATCTCAGAAGAAAATAGCAGAGAAAAGTAATACCTGAACTTTTGGAAGGATGGAAACAATGGAAACGGCAATGCACAGGATCATATTAATGCTTATGAAGAACTTGTTCTCAGTGCAGTCATCCGGCTTTGTGTAGAAAACATAGAAGAGAACAACAAAAACCAGCGACAAGGCATAGAACAAGCTTGTACAGGACAGCAGAGCTGGAGGGGGGGAAAAAAGTAACTGTTACAATATGCATGTATTTTAACAGTACATCTAAGGTGATTTAATGACCAGCTACCACTGTAAAGAGACAGTCCCCCTTCCTCACTTGGAAGTCTGGTTCAGAAAGCTAGACTAGCAGAATGCATTTTTTATTAGGTATGGCTAAATTTCTGCTTTGGCTCACTAAGTAGTGTAGCTCAGAGGAAAGCCTAATGCTGCCATCAAGGGAATAAGACCTGCCTTTCAGCAGCAGTTTAATTTGTTTAACTGATGTCAAGCCACAGTGTCAAAATGCGAGTGCTTTTTGCACACTTCTCATGGGCTATTTATAAGCCCTGAATTGCCCCTGCTATGCTAGAGGCCACCCATTTTCATTTCCATTCTGCTATGTTCTTTATAAGAAGCTACAAAATGCTGTTGCACCATTTGTAGCTATGAGCAAAGAACCACAACAATTAGCACTTTGTAATTTAGTGGTCAGCTTGGGAACATGGG